GAGGTGGCGGAGGAGGCGGAGGTGGAGGAGGCGGCGGAGGCGGCGGCGGCGGCGGTGGTGGAACGGGTCGCGACTCTGCGTAGAGGAGTGGCTCAGGTGGTGGTCCGCGCCAGCAGCAGCGGTATGGTGTGACCCTGTCCCCTCAGCAGCTTCGTGAGTGGTACACTGCGCGTCAGCGCGGTGGGGGTTTTGGTCCCTGCACTTACGTCCTCCGTACCGGCGACCGAGCTGGTGAGTAGTGCGGGGGCCCACACTCCACCCAGCGCTGCTTCGGTCGCCTGACGGACGCGTGGCGTCGCCAGTTCCCTGAGGCGTCAGAGATTCCTCGCTAAGAAAATCTATCTAGGGCGGGGGTTGCCATCTTTGATCTTGACTATGATGCTATCCTTGCTGCCCTGTATTCTGTGACTACTAGTGTTGAGGGTGACTGTTACCTATGTGTACCGCCTTACCCGGGCATTGAGGCCACTGCTCTAGGTGCTGGTGAGGCTGCTGTTCTAGGTGCTAGTGCGTCTGCTGCCCCAGGTGCCAGTACTTCTGCTACCCCAGGTGTCAGTGCGTCTGCTGCCCCAGGTGCTGGTGAGTCTACTCTCTCAGGTACTACGTTGGCTCAGGCCTTCCACACCTTCACCCTTGACTCGAGTGCGTCCCGCTCCTTCTTTCGAGACCGCACCACTCTTACGCCGCTCAGTCGGCCGGTTGCAGTCTCCCTGGCAGACCCCTCTGGGGGTCCTGTTCTTGCTAGCTTCTCCACTGTCTTACCGTGCCCGACAGCCCCCTCTAGCACCCTGTCAGGTCTCTACCTCCCCTTGTTCTCTACGAACTTGGTGAGTGGAGCGGATCTACAGTATAGGGGGGTTGACCAGTTCACTCCTGCGAGTCAGCGAGTGACCCACTGCACGTGTGCTTGGACAGGCCGACACCTGGCCACGTTCACCCGTCGGCCACGGTCGAGCCAGTAAACCCTTACTACTGAGTCTCCTCCAACTGCTGAGTCTGGCCAGGTAGCTGCGTCAAGTCAGGTGTTTGCTGCAGCGTCCAGGTCTGGTCCTGAGTCTGCTCCCTGCTCGTGTCGTCTCCTGTCCCACCAGACTCTCCTCTGGCACCATCGTCTTGGTCACCCCTCCCTGCCTCGTCTCCGAGGCATGGCCTCCCGAGTCTTTGTCTCTGGTCTCCCCCGGTCTCTCCCTCCCCTACCTCCGGGGCCTGGCCCTACCTGCGTCCCCGGTGTCGAGGGGCGACAGCGCGCCGCCCCTCACTCCTCCGAGTTTCCTCCGACAGAGGCTCCGCTACAGATCCTGCAGATGGATGTGTGGGGCCCCGCCCGCGTCCGTGGACAGGGGCACGAGCGTTACTTCCTGTTGGTGGTTGACGATTACTCGCGTTACACTACAGTCTTCCCTTCGCGCAGCAAGTGTGACGTCACTGAGGTCTTGATCGACTGGATCCGCGCAGCTCGTTTCCAGCTCAGAGAGAATTTCGGCTCGGACTTTCCTGTTCTGCGTCTGCACTCGGACAGAGGCGGGGAGTTTTCCTCTGCCCGTCTGGGAGCCTTCTGTCGTGCACAGGGCATCTGCCAGACCTTCACGCTTCCGGCCTCTCCACAACAAAATGGGATCGTGAGCGCCGCATTGGCATGGTCATGGACGTCGCTCGTACGTCCATGATGCATGCGGCTGCCCCCCATTTTCTGTGGCTGTTTGCGGTTCAGGACGCCGCGCATCAGCTCAACCTTCAGCCCCGGGGTCTCCTTGCCAGAGACCTCCCCCGCCTTGCGGTGGACCGGGAAGGTTGGCGATGCGTCTGCGTTTTGGGTCTGGGGATCTCGGGCGTTTGTCCGCGACTTGTCTGCGGACAAGTTGTCCCCCCGTGCTGTTTCCTGCGTCTTCCTGGGTTTCCCCCCTGACGCGCCTGGGTGGCAGTTTTACCACCCCACCTCGTGCCGTGTTCTGTCCTTCCAGGACGTCACCTTTGACGAGTCGGTGCCTTACTACCGTCTCTTCCCCTACCGCACTACGCCCCTCCCCCCGCCGCGGCTCTTCCTTGCACCGGTCCTCCCCCGGTAGACCCCCTCCCCCCTCAGGGTCCTGCCCCGTCAGGAGTGTCCCAGGTAGACGCAGTCGAGCCTGTCGAGGTAGCTGTTGACTCTGGTGCTGCTAAAGGTGCTGAGCCTACGGGTGCCGGGTCTGGGGGTGCTGAGAATGGGGGTGTTGCTGGGATAACTGGAGTTCGTCCTGCTGGAGCTACTGGCGGTACTAGTGCTGCTGGAGCTGGAGCTGCTGGGGGTGTTGGCGCTGGTGTTTCTACTGGCGTTGGTGCGTCTGGGGGTGCTGCTGAATCTGTTGGAGCTGACGGTCCTACTGGAGTTGGTGCTGCTAGAGCTGGAGCTGCTGGAGGTGTTGGCGCTGGCGGTGCTGCTAGCGCTGGTGTTTCTGAGGGTGCTAGAGTTGGCGCTGTTGGAGCTGGAGGTGCTGCTGGCGCTGGTACTGCTGCTGGGGGTACTGGTGCCGTCCTTGCTAGTTCTGGAGGCGCTGAGCGGCCGAGGCCGTACTTCGTTCCGCTCCTGGAGCAGGTTCTTGGTCTCCCGCCCTCTCCTGGTCCTGCTCCTCCCTTAGAGTGTCCACAGCCTGTCCAGTCGCAGTCGCAGTCACAGTTACAGCCCGCCTCTCCTCTACCTGCTCCTTCTCCCTACACTGGTCCTACTGGAGGTCTTGCTGAGCGTCGTGCGCCCGCGTCTCGTCCTGCGTCTCCTGTTCGTGCTGCTCGCACTAGTGGTCGTACTGCGCGTCCGCGTCCTCCTGCGGTCCCCGGCACACACCAGATGGCGCTGCGTCCTTCCACTGCTCCTCTGCGTGTCTCGTTGCCGTCTCCTCCAGAGTCCTCTCTTCCTACTCTTGCTGACCCGGAGTCTAACTCCCTTCGTGCTGCTAGTCCTTCGGTCACGCGTCTCCTTGCTACAGTTGTCACCGACCCTTCCTTTGAGTCTACTGTTGCGTCTGCCCTAGTTGCTGAGCTTGTCGACTTCGCTGCTCGCTGTCGTCTAGACTACGCTGCCGGTCTCGTTGCAGAGTCTGAGTCTGTCTATCCTCCGTCCGTCGGGGGTGAGTGTGATTTTAGCACGGACGTCCTTGAGGACAGGAAGGAGGAGTTTCAGTGCTTTGCTGCTGGTTTGCCCCATCTCGTGCCTACACTGATTGCCCCTGAGGGAGACCCGGATGCACCAGACATCCCGACTCCTCGATCGTACGCTGAGGCGATCGAGGGTCCCTACTCCTCTCAGTGGCAGTAGTCGGCCATGGACGCAGAAATGGCTTCTTGGAAGTCCACAGGCACCTACGTCGACGAGGTTCCCCCACCTGGGGCGAACATTGTCAGTGGCATGTGGATTTTCAGGGTGAAGCGGCTTCCGGGTTCTCCGCCTGTCTTCAAGGCGCGTTACGTGGCTCGAGGCTTCAGTCAGCGGCAAGGAGTTGACTACTTCCAGACATTCTCTCTCACCCCGAAGATGACCACTCTTCGGGTGCTGCTGCACATAGCCGCTCAGCGCGATTACGAGTTTCACTCTCTTGACTTCAGCACAGCTTTTCTGCAGGGCAGCATGCACGAGGAGATCTGGCTGCGCCGCCCACCTGGCTTCACTGGGTCGTTCCCTCCTGGTAACCAGTGGAGCCCTCGGCGGCCAGTCTACAGTCTCCGCCAGGCACCGCGTGAGTGGCACGACACACTGAGGACTACACTTGCGGCTCTTGGGTTTGTTCTTTCTACAGCCGACCCGTCGCTGTTTCTGCGCACTGACACCTCTTTGCCGCCGTTCTATATCCTCGAGTACGTCGACGATTTGGTCTTTGCCACTGCTGACACTGCTGGACTCGCCCACGTGAAGTCCGAGCTGCAGAAGAGACACACGTGCACAGACCTGGGTGAACTACGCAGCTACCTTGGCTTGCAGATCACCCGGGATAGAGCACAGCGCACCATTACCCTGACTCAGTCACACATGGTGCAGCAGGTCCTTCAGCGCTTCGGCTTCACGTACTCCTCGCCTCAGACCACTCCTCTGTGTTCTCGTCACTCGCTCACAGCTCTGCCTTCGGAGGAGTCCGTAGAGCTGAGTGACCCGTACCCAGAGCTTGTTGGCTGCCTCATGTACCTGATGACCTGCACACGACCTGACCTTGCATACCCTCTTAGCATCTTGGCACGCTATGTTGGTCCTGGGAGACACCGACCAGAGCACATGGCTGCAGCGAAGAGGGTGTTGCGCTACCTGTGCAGTACGTCGGGCATGGGGCTAGTGCTTGGAGGGCGACGTCGAGTGGTCCTCACAGGTCACGCAGCCGCTTCTTGGGCTGACGACCAGGCTCTGCAGCGGTCGTCACAGGGTTACACCTTCAGCCTTGGCTCCGGCTCTGTTTCGTGGCGGTCTACCCGCTCGTCTTCTGTTCTCAGCTCCAGCTGTGAGGCTGAGATCTACGCAAGGGCCATGGCTGTACAGGAACTACACTGGCTCACCTACCTGCTGACTGACCTTGGAGAGCCGCCTCGTTCTCCTCCAGTGCTGTACGTAGACAACAAGGCCATGCTGGCCTTGTGTCGGGAGCACAGACTGGAGCACAGAACGAAGCACATTGCTCTCCGCTACTTCCCGGCTCGTGAGCTGCAGCAGCGTGGTCAGCTCCGCCTCACCTACGTGGCCTCTGAGGCCAACACTGCTGATGTTTTCACCAAGGCGCTTCCGCCTTGTGATCATCAGCGCTTCCGTATTTTGCTAGGTCTTGTGCCTACCTGGCCTCACTTGCTCACTTCTTGATCTTGTTTGTACTGTACTCTTTCTATACCTGCCCTTGCTTGTTTACCTTTATATATATAATCTTGCATGTGAACTGGACTTCTGGCCTTGCTCTTGTGCTCGAACTGTGTGGTGACTTTGTGATCCACCCTGAGCTTGCTTTGCTTTGCTTGACTGGTCTTGTGACCACTTGTTCTCCCCCACTTGGCCTATGGGGGTGTGTCAGAACATTATAGCTTATACGACTGTGTAAGCTGTTGTGGGGTAGCCCACAAGAGGTACAACCCAATTAGGGTTAGTACTTGTACCCAACTGTTTCATAGTTCAATCATCCTCTCTTCTAAACTCAACAGTTTCGACACGTCTCAAGCCTCAATGTGTCGCTCTCCCATGTTGTTCCCTTGTCCCCTTGCCCCCCTACCAATCCCCCCAACAAGATTTCTCGGTTGATATTGCATTAATCTGCCTCTCCCTTAGAGGAGCAGACTATCCCTCCGAGGTGACTTTTGAGTCGACTCAAAAGTCCATAGGAGCGGACTATCCCTCCGAGGTGACTTTTGAGTCGACTCAAAAGTCCATAGGAGCGGACTATCCCTCCGAGGTGACTTTTGAGTCGACTCAAAAGTCCATAGGAGCGGACTATCCCTCCGAGGTGACTTTTGAGCCGACTCAAAAGTCCATAGGAGCGGACTATCCCTCCGAGGTGACTTTTTAGTCGACTCAAAAGTCCATAGGAGCGGACTATCCCTCCAAGGTGACTTTTGAGTCGACTCAAAAGTCCATAGGAGCGGACTATCCCTCCGAGGTGACTTTTGAGTCGACTGAAAAATTCCATAGGAGCGGACTATCCCTCCAAGGTGACTTTTGAGTCGACTGAAATGTCCATAGGAGCGGACTATCCCTCCTTCCTGTCCTTCCTTCTGGAGAGCTGGTTTTTGAGATTTCTCAAAATCCTTCCGGGGACTTCTCATGACTCTCTCTGTGTCCGTCCCATGTCCAACCCATATCGCCCCCATGCCTCCATGCCCCAGACCCCCCTACCAGCCGCCTCAGTCAACATCGCAGTCTTCTGCCTCTCCCTCATGGGAGCAGACTACCCCTCCTTCCTCTCTTGACACGTCTCGTGACTCTCTGTGCGCGTTAACCACGTGTGCCTACTCTAAACCCCCCCATGCCTTCGTGCCCCAGACACCCCTACCACCTGCCTCAGTCAACATTGCAGTCTTCTGTCTCTCCCTCATGGGAGCAGACTACCCCTCCTTCCTGTCTGAAGCTCACCGTGTGCTGCACCCTGGGTAAAGACGTGGGACGGGTATGGTATGGTATGGTGTGGCAGATTGGGGTGTGGAGAGTGGGGCAGGTGCAGGGCATGGTATGTGGGCTCTCTTGGGAGCGGACTACCTCTCCTTCCTCTCTGAAGCTCACCGTGTGTTGCAACCTGGGTGAGCCTGTTTCTGCTACGCTATAGTACTGCACAGTACGGTACAATACGGTACAGTATGGTACAGTACGGTACATTATGAGGAGCCGGTTCGACCCCACCACTGGAGATGTTTTGAGGTGCCTTATGGTGCCCTCTCTGCCTCTCTGCCTCTCTGCCTCTCCTGCCCTTGCCCCATTCTAAACACAGGGGCTCACTCATTATAGCCGAGGTGAGGAGCCGGTTTGACCCCACCACAGGAGGGGCGGAATTGAAGGACTTTGTTGCTGCACTGAAACAGCTTGGATTCCGCCTTGTCTCCAAGGTATAGTCTCCAAACCACCTGGGATACTGTTCTGGGATGGCATCATATCCTGTTGTGGGTAGTGTTGCTCTGCATTGCACTGTACCAGCCTCACCCACAGGAGGGGCGGGGCTGAATGCTTTTTTGCCACTCAAACTCCTACGGTTCCGCCTTGTCTCCAAGGTATTTGAGTAGACTGTTGGGGTGCAGTTGTGGATAGTGTTGGTCTGCATTGCACCTTACCAGGCTTAACCTCAGTAGGGGCTGAGCTGAATGGCTTTTTGCCACAGTCAAGCACCTGGGTTTTCTGCCTCGTCTCCAAGGTACAGTCATGGGGTGGTAGTGTTGGATTGCATTTTGCTGTATGTATGCCACACCATTGGAGGGATGGAGTCGACACACTTCCTCTCTCCGCTCAACACCTAGGGTTTCCCCTCGTCCCCAAGGTAGCTCTGTTGTGGGTAGTGTTGGTTGGATCGCATAACACAGTACTCACATCACATGCTTCCCTGGATCAATCAAGCTCCGCCTTGTACCCTTTTTCATATTTTGGGCAGGATTTGAGCAACAAGATGTTTCTCCTCCTTTTCCTTGAGAAAGTGCAGGCAGAGGTGAGTGACAGGTTTGCAGCCAAATGTAAGGAACAATTACGCAATGTAGGTACTGGTATTGATGAAAGAAGTCATCACGGTCGCCTTGTTTTTGCTTATCGCGTGCTTGCTCACACATTTACTCGTTAATTAACCCAAGCGCATGTTAATTGACATGTTCTCCCATTCGCACGCACCTCTTAACTTTCTCGTTGTGGTTTTGTGAATACATGAGATGTTAACTGTGTACTCCTCTCATTTCCATTTGTACTCTTGTGCTTTGAATTGATGAATGGATGTGTTTGGACTTGGTGGGAGACGGGTGACTGTATAAAATGCTGGTGTTCTTACAGCTGACGAAAGGCCAGGTGAAGAATAAAATTTCAGTGTCTGCTGACGTTAAATGGCCTGCCTTGAAACCCTGCCTTTATAAGAGACGGTGATATGTTTTTGTTGTTACTGAAGGATCGTAGTGGATAGGATAAGTCTGTCAAGTTTGAAAGAAGACAATGAAGTCTCTGTAATGACCTTGTTACGGTAATAAAGTTGAAAGAGAACAAGATGATAATATGATAGGAGTACAAGGATATAAATAGCAATCCTAGTTAGCCATGTACCGTATCCCCCCCGATATACCCCCATGGGGGGCAATAATAAAACAGGTTTTTTCATGGGGGTGGGCTTATAATCGAGTAAATTTATAAGCGCCGGCGTTTATAAAATGACATACATATTTTTTTATATCTTTTAACACCAAACTGTAGGTCTCGTGCTTGCCTTTTCAATCGAGTCGAAGTTACATGGGATCGTCTGTGAAATTCTCGCGCGCGCTGGGAGATACACCCAATCTGACTCACATCCAGCTCCTGACAGGTCCTGCTGACTGGACCCGCATCCAGTGCAGGGTCCGAATGTGAAGGGAACCGATTCTGCAACATATCCGCCTGCTAAAGTAAAAATCGTTACAGCTTTTTGAACACATTTCAAATTTTAAAGTTTACGTGCGCTTATAATAAAACAAGTTTTTTCAAGGGGTGCGCTTATAATCGAGGAGGGGATATAAGCGCCATATGCCAATTAGAAGCGCCAGGCGCTTATCCTAGGGTGGCGCTTATATCCGGGGGGAGACGGTACTTTGAGGGGTACATGCCCTTATTAACTCAATTACATTGCTATAGTAATCACGACTGATTCTATTCGTGACAGTTACCATGTTGCATCGCGTAACTACCAAGTGCGGTTACTGGGCAGTCAAGGGTCACGACCGTTGACTGTCTTCGACTGTTGACCTGCGGGTGACCCTCGACCTTCTGCATGCTCTATAAAAGCTATTGCGATACTAATACAGGCGCGTTGCTTCGTTATGGAGTGAAGAGCGAGTGGAGAGCCTTCGGGAATGTTACGATAACTTTTCGGTTATTCCAACACTCCCCTTTATTCCTGAAGGTGAGCCGCGTGGGATTTCTTCGAGATCCCGCAGAGGTCGGTGCAGTGCTCAAACTTCTGACGTGGCAGCTTCTTGGTCAGGAAGTCTGTTGCCATGTCACCAGTTGGGCAGCATGTGAGTTTGACCTTCCCTTTGTCGGTTCCGTCTTTGACGAAGAACTAACGGAGTGTGATGTGTTTCGTGCGGTTCACGAAGCCGGGCTTGTTCGCGATCTTGATCGCGCTCTGGTTGTCGCAGTGTAACGTGAAGTGCCCGTTCATCGTTACTTTCGCTTCCTGTAGGAGCTCCATCATGTACAGTCCTTCGCAAACAGCTGCGCTTGCGGCGATGAACTCAGCTTCGGCTGACGAAAGGGCGATGAGTTCCTGCTTCTGAGAGTTCCAGGAGATGAACCCAACAGGTTGGGCGTTTGTTGTCAATGTCTCCTTCATGGTCTGCGTCTACGTAGCCATGGAGCTGCAGGGTAGCAGTTAAGTTAGCTTTGTAGGTGAGGCCGACGTCGGGAGTGAAGACGAAGTATTGAAGTGCTCATCGTAGATCCGGTAGATTCTCCCCTCAGGTCGCTTCAAGTACTATGCAAGCTGGCTTGCGACGTAGGAGAGATCGGGCCGGCACGTGACGACGGCGAACAAGAGACACCCTAGCTGCTGCTGATAGAGCCGATGATCGTCAATGGAGAGCGGTGTAGTATCTGGTTCGTGGTTAGGAGGAGGAGTGCGGTAGGGGGTGGTGAGATTGATCAGCATGACAGCGAATTTCTTCGCGAGTGTTTCCGCATATTTGGCGGCGGAAAGGTGAATGGAGGTGGCGGACTGAGTGATGTTGAGGCCCAAGAATTGTGTGACGGTGTGGTTGATTGTCACCTCGAGCTTCTCTTTGATATCTGCCTCAAACTGGTCAGCAGCTCCGTGTCGTCGCCGGTGTAGAGTAGATGGTCGACGTAGGCGACGAGAAGGATGAACTTGCCACGTCGATTTGACGGGATGGCCGCTGTTTGACGGCTGCGATGCAGATGAGGATGCGTACTGAAGTGTGTCGTCCGAGGTGAGGTCGAAGTCTACCATGTGAGTTTGCTCGAATCCGCGCACCACCCATCTCGCCTTGTATTTGTCAATTGAGCAATCCGCGAGTGTTTTAATGCGAACAACCCACTTTCCACTGAGAATTTCCTCCCCTTAGCTAATAATCATGGAACCAGTTTCCACGTTCCGCGTCTCTTCAGTGATGCGACTTCTGCGGCCATGGCTGCCTTCCATTTCTGACTGTCGAGGCCAGACAAGGCCTGGCAAATGGTGGTCGGTTCCTTGGGGGAGGTGTGGCGAACAGCTACGGCGAGCCCAAGGATGCAAAGACCAGTTTCGTTGTTCTTTTCGCATTGAAGGTGGTCGTAGTCGTGGAGGCTGGTTACTTCGACGACATCGTCGTCACTGTCGTTGCCGAGGCGAAGGGTGTCTTGCGAGGTGTTTGGTGGTGGTAACTCGGCATCCAAAGATCGGCGCGCTTCACTATTGTAATTGTGGGCTTCGTGAAGTGTCCTCCGCCAGGTGTGCTTCATCGTGTGACATGGCGAAGCTGTGATGCCCCTCGAAAACCTTTTCCGGTGCTTTATCAGCTTCGCGGTGCTCCTTGAATAGTGGCAGAGTCAACTTTTTGTAGAAGATGCAGTTGTCAGAATCCCAACCACTAGACCATTGGGATAAAAGGGCTTGTTAAGTGGCGGGTCAGTACGCCATAACCTCCCAGGCCAGCGAGCCTGTAACCCTTGTTAAAGAACGAGGAATGATTGACTAAGGAATGAGTGTGATACAAATGTGAAACCCTAGAATTGTGTACCCCTTAGTATCTAGCCCGCTACAGCCTACACAGGCTAGATCATATAAGTCTGACACACCCCCATAGGCAAAGTGGGGGAGAACAAGGGGTCACAAGACCAGTCAAGCAAAGCAAAGCAAAGCAAGCTCAGGGTGGATCACAACGTCATCACACATTCCGAGCACAAGTTCAAGGCCACAAGGCCAGTTCACAAGCAAGATCATATATAAAGGTAAACAAGCAAGTGCAGGTATAGAAAGATCACAGTACAAGCAAGGTCAAGAAGTGAGCAAGTGAGGCCAAGTAGGCACAAGACCTAGCATCGTACAAAAGCGCTGATAATCACAAGGCGGAAGTGCCTTGGTGAAGATATCAGCAGTGTTGGCCTCAGAGGCCACGTAAGCAAGGCGCAGCTGACCACGGTGCTGCAGCTCACGAGCAAGGAAGTAGCGAAGAGCAATGTGTTCCGTTCTGTGCTCCAGTCTGTGCTCCTGACACAAGGCCAGCATGGCGTGCCAAGATGCTAAGAGGGTATGCAAGGTTAGGTCGAGTGCAGGTCATCAGATACATGAGGCAGCCAACAAGCTCTGGGTACGGGCCACTCGGCTCTACGGACTCATCCGAAGGCAGAGCTGAGAGCGAGTGGCGAGTAGACAGAGGAGTGGCCTGAGGCGAGGAGTACGTGAAGTCGAAGCGCTGAAGGACCTGTTGCACCATGTGTGACTGAGTTAGAGTAATGGTGCGCTGTGCTCTGTCCCGGGTGATCTGCAAACCAAGGTAGCTGCGGAGTTCACCCAGGTCTGTGCACGTGTGTCTCTTCTGCAGCTCGGACTTCACGTGGGCGAGTCCAGCAGTGTCAGCAGTGGCAAAGACCAAGTCGTCGACGTACACGAGGATGTAGAACGGCGGCAAAGAGATGTCGGTGCGCAGAAACAGCTACGGGTCGGCTGTAGAAGGAGCAAACCCAAGAGCCGCAAGTGTAGTCCTCAGTGTGTCGTGCCACTCACGAGGCGCCTGGCGGAGACCGTAGACTGGCCGCCGGAGGCTCCACTGGGTACCAGGAGGAAACGACCCAATGAAGACAGGTGGGCAGGGCAGCCAGATCTCCTCGTGCAAGCTGCCATGCAGGAAAGCTGTGCTGAAGTCAACAGAGTGAAGCTCGTAGTCACGCTGAGCGG